AAAATGATACACAGGAGATACATCTGACACAAGCTCTTATTTCCTTATGTCTGCGTTTTGTTTTGATTTTTGGAGAAATGATGTACTTAACATCCTGTTTGCAGACTGTTCCATTCCGGACACAATTTTAAAATGCAACCGCACCAGTGATCTACATCCCCCGTTTACTTTTTGGCAAATAAGTGCATCACTCACGTTAAGCTTACTGTTAACTGCAAACTGTTAACATGTCTTAGTGTGGTTTCAGTGTTCCTGTGGCAAGGCTAAACAGCATTTAGAAAACAATGATATCCCCAGGCCCGCACTGTAGTTTCTGAAGCACAGATTAAGCACGGTATTCTGCTCAACGAGCTCATCACTGTTAAGTAACTCATCAGAAAATAAAGAGGGAATTATCAAATGGGAATTGCCAAGTAATTAGTTCTCTGAAGCAGATGACATACAACTGTTAAAGGGAGGGGCTTCCCTGTTAGTCATATGTCAGACTAGAGCCTACTAATCTGTAAATAAAAATGCATTACATATGATTAGCACTATGGGTTTTTAACCACTAGTGGTACGGGGAGGATTAACTCACAACTTTTTCCAGTGTGATAAGGCGCGAAGATTTTTTTCTCTTGCACACAATGAATTTTCACACTGTTCTGGATCACTCTGCTCTCAGACCACCTGAGGAAAGCTACGGCTGCAGCCTACTACCAGAGCTGATGTGCTCTGGGGCTAAGGAAGAGGACCAACGCTTTTACTATCATAGTAACCAGGAAAGGCACTCCCCACTCAGCTGCTACACGTGATGCTGAAAAGGAACGGCAGCAGTGAGGAAATACTCTCTGGCGCAAAAATCCTGAGTGCAATAAAGAAGGATTAAGCCTGCTTTTTGTAATTATCCATCTCCGTTAAAGCCTGATTTTCTTTCAAGGAGCTAGTCTCACAGCAATGTGAAATTTGCAGAACTACAAGGGCCTTCATGCGTGGGTACCTGACAAACAAAAAAGGTGGTAACAGTCACAACCACACTCCGATACAAGTGAGAAACACTTAAACTTTTGTCCTTTTTACAGACTGAAGAGTGACTCAATAAATCCTTAAGTCGGGGTTTCAGCTAGTCTCAACACAGGCTGATCACTAGAAAATAAAGAAGGAATTATCAAACCAGGGGGTTGCCTCCATCGCAGTACCTCACCACAAGAAGCCTCCCAGATTCAAATCCAGATGCTGCCTGGATTTGGGCTAGCTTTAAACCACAGGCATGGCAAAATCCAGCGGGCAGCCCCTGCCCAACTCACACAGCCAAGGGAGAGGAAAGGAGGAGGGCATGCACAGACACCGAGGCACATGCAAAACTACCCATCAGTGACGGTAATCTCAGCGTTGTGGCCCTCAGCCCTTCAAAGTGCTCTGTCTCTCCACCACTTAGTCTCGCAGCCAGAAGACCACGCTGAGGCAATGCTGGCAAGCCACAACACGGGACAGATCCTCCACAGTCCCTTATTCCAGTTGCAGGCACACCTTTTTCAAAGCACGTGCTGGAAGGTGAATCAAGCCTCAGGTCTCAGCTTATATCACATTACGTACGTGAGCCCACTGCTTTTATCTAGGCAGATCACTACACCCAGCTCCATTTAGACTTCAGACCGTGTTGCAAAACCTTCAATCAATCTGACATCAGGCTAGCAGCATCTGCCGAGGGAACAGCAGAGCAGAACCATGAAAGGTCACCGCTGAGGTGACGGGGCAGGGCTGAGGAGGCGGCAGAGACTCATTTCTCAGATCGTCCCTTGCATTCACATCTTTTCATTTAATTTACCAGAGCGTTATGCACTCACACACAAAACAAACAATTAAAAAAAATTAAAATGATTTCTAATTACTCTCCAATTATACCTAGTTCACGTCTTCGTTTCACTTGTGCTCTTAATATGCTCAAAATCTCCACCGCCTGCCTTCTTTTAGCCCTACAGCCATTGTAGGCCTTGATAAACAGTGTAAGAGGGAAGAAATAAGATCAGCTATGATAAAAGAACACCAATATGGCAATCAAAAAATTGCCTTTGGACACACTAATATAGAGACAGATTACCTCTCTTTACATTAGTACAAAATATTTTAAAAGGATAGATTGCTGTTCATTTGCAGAGAACAGCAGCCAGAAGCCTACATAAAGCAGAACTTCTGCCTTATGTAAAAAATAAGCCACATGCAGTAGTGCACAGCTATACTCGTGGAAAATTCAGCAAAAAAAAAATCTTACAAACAGGCTGTGGCTGTAAATTCAACCCGATACTATAATATGATTCATAGATATCAAGTGACTCGGGAGTGGAAAAGATTAAAAAGAACTCTTTAGCTGTTAAGATGTCCAGTGTCTCATGCAAAATCCTCTCAGCACAACCATTTAAAAGAAAGCATTGAGTTATTTGCCTGCATGGAAGGATGGAAGGAGGCTGTGCATGCTCCAAACAAATAACAATAACTCTGTTTTTTAGCTCAGGCTAAAATTAACTGAAGGCAGGATTGGAAAAAAAAAAAAAAAAGCCATGTCTCAATGTATGTAATCTTATTTTTTACTAAGCCCAATGTCCTCAAACAGGCAAAATGCTCAGCAGACTCTGCAAGGAAGCTGCTGGAGCTGGAGAGGTGGGCACACCTGAAGCTCACACACCAGAGCAGCTTTCCTCCCAGCAGACAGGCGACTCCTCGTGTGAGTAAAGCTATGAAATACACACCTGGGGACGCCAGGACCAAAGCTGTATTTCCCAGGTCTGATACTGGATGCGATCCGTGGAACGTGCCCGATGCTCAGTCCCTCTGACAGATGCTGTGGTAATAACTCAGGTCTGCATAAAATGGAGCGGGCTGCTGTCACCTTTACCCCCGAAACAAATGCGAACGCCGGAAAAGATGCTGTGCTGTAGCATACAGTGCTCGATCTCGATCTGTGAAACCTATTTGTGGCTGCTCACTGCACTGCTCCGGGTCACGTTTGTTTCACGTGTTACTACTTTGAGCTCCCTTCTGTTAAATCAAGTGACAGAGATAACGCCTGCAAGCAGGCAGTTGCTATCTCAGGAACTTGTACTTTACTTATTTATACAGTGGGCCTGATTTTGATCATTCCCTAGAGAAAAGAAGAACTAACAAGGCCAACAGAGAGGTACCCCAAACTCAGTGACTGAAACGGCATGTCCAAGAACAAGAAAAGCAGCAGCAATAAACCTGATCGAAGGCCCACAAAAACAACGCTATACTTCAAAATGCACCAGAACAGGAAAAAAAAACAAAAACACAATATAGTCCTGTATTCCTGTCATGCCTGTAACTGAGCCAATGACAGCAGCCTTAACTGGGTTATTTTTTTTTTAAATGCAAAATGTTCGTAACATATATTCTTTTTTATGCAATCACAGGAAACGCCAGATGCTAAAATACTCGAGGTGACTTAGCGATAGGTTGTGGGTAGCACAATGTGATAATTCACAGGATTTGAACAATATACGCTAAGTGATTACTTCTAGTTAAGAGACAGAAGCCTTTCCTGTAGTAATTGTTGCTGTAAATAAGTACAATTTCATGCAACCTAAGCCAATTCTGAAAAAATAAAAAAAATAAAAAATGAAATGCGTTGTGGAAATGTTCATGTCATAACAAAAAGCTTCCTTCTATTTGATCTCCCAAGCCAAGAGCTGCTACCAAGTCAGTTTTCTTCCAAAACCGAAAGATGAAATGTGTCAGTGCACGGGCACTTTGTCTGGCTTTTCAGTCTCCAGAAATTCATATCGCTCCAAAGAGGTATATTGGTTACAATCCACCCCCACCACTCAGGCTCATTTGTAAACCCTAAGAGGCATGTCTTTACTTGTAACTGCTTGCTTAGACAACTTCCCTTCAGAGCACAGCACCCTGCCCCACAGCCACAATAAAATGTAAATTACGTGCCACACACTTCTCTCTGACACGCTGTATACATTAAAAAGTTATTCTGCAATGAAGACTTTCTGGTCAGCCCCTCACAAATAGAATGCTATAGTGATTGAATTTTCTGGCTATGCATAGGAAAAAAAAAAACAACATATCCAGAATTTCTAAAAGTAACCACTACATTTAAATTTCCTTTATGTAAAGATACCAGCAATTTTCTTACGACCTTATATCTTTTTTTTTTTTTAAAGCATTAGCAGTATTGCCAATCCCAAGCACTCAAAAATCATAAAACAGGTCCAAAAAAATCAGGCTGGCTTAATGACAATCAGATTAAAGAAATAAAATAAAAATTTATGTTCTTTTTATTGGCAGTATGATTGTTGAGCCTTCAGAATTGGTTCTTTCAAGGTATTCTCCCCAGCCATATGGGAAGGAGGGGGAGAGGAAAGGAAGAGGACAGGGAGCAGAGACTGATAGATGTGCACGGTTACATTCTGTCTGGTTCCAGGATTTCAGGGCAACATTATCAGAAGAAACGCAAACATACCTCAAACTAGTGTAAAAGACAGCCAGGCATGTCATTGGTGACTAGCTATCCTGGCAAGTATCCTCATGCCACGCACAGTTTAGCACATGAGAAAACCAGGATGCTGGAAAAGTCCAACAGGCTGCAAGCAACGAGAACCACTAAAAATGTTCATAAAAGCGCAGGAAGGATTTATATAATTACACACGTGGCATTTTACAACAACAACAAAAAATAAAAATCAAGGACTGTAAACTTTTCCATTCATACTACAGTCTTTTAGCAACTGAGCATACTCTGACTGGAGGTGAACATGAAACCACTCATCTGGAACCCAGTGTCCTGTAAGTCACCGAACTGAGTCACCAGAGTTAATGGAATTTTTTTTCTGACGAGAGTTTCTCAAGGACCTCTACTGCCAGGCAAGGGAAGTACAAACATTTCATGGGAAGGTAACTGCAGACACCACACCGCTCAGGTGTCCGCGTTGACCAGAACCCAGAGCAGACAGCGTGCAGCTTGTTAGAGGAAATAAAAGGTGTTATTTTCTCACCTTATTGACAGTGCATCTCTGTATGGCGAAAACAAAAGCGAAGGTGGTCACTGTGCTACAGGGGTCAGCAGTAAATTCACAGCTTGTATTGCTTGCCCGTCTGGCTTGGCCTGCGATGTGACTCTTGATCCAGAAGCTGAGGAGGTGGAAACCAACATGAAAAGAAACAGAAACACAATTAAGAATCAAGCAATTTACGAGACACTAAGTCACCCTAAGGAAGACCCAGAGAGGCTGCTTTTGCTATTACTCAAGCACAAATAAAACTATAGATTGACTCGCGCAGCCAGCACACATACAGGAGAGAACGTAGCCCATTTAGTCAGACTGAGTGCTCTTTCCCTAAATGTGATCTTAATGAGGTGAAGAATCATAAGCCAGTTGAGAGGACTGTCACTGCTGCCAACAAAACACATCTTGTTCGAGGAGGGGCATCATCCACAAAACCTACTCCTGCGACTACTACAATCAGATGAAAAACAATCAGCTTTGGGTGTGTAGCTTTACCTTGCGCCCCGTTTTGTCAACGTAACACTGGCATCCTAGAAGCAACACATTTTACCCAAGTGCCCAAATAATATGATGAAAGGAAAACACTACCAGTGTGGTTCTTTTTTTTTTTTTTTTTTCTATTTCTGAATTTTTCTTCAGTAAAATTACAAAGAGCCAGCATTGAATTTCTGCTGACATCACATATTAAACAAAATACATTTTGTTGTTTTTTTTTTTTTTTCACTTGGAATCTCACCAAGTATTTTTATCACTCTTGGGACAATAAAAGGATTTAGTGAGACCGTTTCTCCCTCACTGAGAAGCATTTTTGTTGTTTCAGTTTATGAGCATACTTACTCGTTCCTATTTATGGAAGGATTTACACACATACTTAACTCCAGATAGGTTCTTTAATCAATCCTCATTCAGCAAAACCCTCGCTGGGACACGTACTAAAGTAACTTTGCAGACTGGGGCTGATACACGCACGCAGATTTGCATGTTTTAGAGCCGACCCAGACTACAGCTCGGGGAGGGGGGAGCACCAAGCACTACACTCTCAATGTATGTGCAGAGATCAGAAAGGAACTAAGGTCATTGACTCAGTTTTCGTCTTTTCACAAAAGTCTGGAGTCTGCAAAGTTTCTTACATTTAAAAACATGAGTCATGGATCAGCTAAGCCAAAACCGAGCTAAAATCCTCAACTCACAAAGAACGTGAACCACTGTACAAGACGTGCACATGACCTCAGATTCCAAAATACAGGGCCTTTGTCCAAGCACCTACTTATTTATTTATCGCACTTAAGAGACCAGCAGAAAAGTACGGCGAAATGAGGAGGTCAGGATTTTCAGCTTGCAAAGCTTAGGCTTCGAGAAGCATGCAAGTTCCTACACAGAAGTCACTGAATACAGCAGGCCATTCCTCTGAACTATGTACCTGCGCCAAGCCTGCCGTACCTCTATTCCTCGTGCTAATTATATTTTCGTTTGCTAACGCAGACGTGCTTACGGTAGCCTCCGCAGAGACCTACGTTTAAGCCTGTTATCTGAACTGGGTGACTCGTACACAGTGTGCCTGCACTGCCTCCCAAACCTGCACTCACTGCGAACCTGGCTGCCTGGCCCGAGACTGCCCTGCAGGCCGACTGCTCTCGAGCGAGCTGCCTCCCACACGCATTTCCTTTGAGCCCTGCGATACTTCTTCATCGCGTTTCCCCCTTCAATTAGTACACCACAACAAAAGCAACTGCGCTGCCTGAGCAATGACAATGACAGTCCTGGCTGCCACGCACCAGGACGGGCCGCCCAACTTCAGCGAGGGGAAAATCAGGCCTTTAGTTTGCTTTACTGCAATTATTTTCAAATTCTGGTGTTTAAAGCATTAGTTGCTTTTCAGGTGACTGCATTTAATGCCTATTTTCTTAATTAACTTGAAACTAGGCCACTGGATCTATTACATAAAAAAAAAAAAATGTTAAATGAAATTCCAGGTCTCTTGTAAGAGTATCTTAAAATAAGACTAGCTTTTTCAGCCTTTCCAAATAAATCAAATCAGGCCAGGAGGGCAAGAGGGAAGAGTTGCACTGTTTATTTTCAAAAAAGTCTTTTGAACTGTGTATATATGGCCTTTTTGAAAATAATTACTTTCTAATGCTCTTAGTCACACAGGTAATTTGTCTTACAATAAAATATGTATGAGCAGCACGAGGCAGGCAGCGGCTCACGCTACAGGAGCCGAGCTGCGTGCGATTATTTCACTTTCTGCAGGCTCTTCTATTTCCAGCCACCCCCTCGGCACGGTGGCCCGTCGCGGAGGCGGCCGTGCCGAGGGGAGGATATTCCTTCCTAGCACCGAGGGCAAGCCACTCAAAGGCTGCTCTTTGCTAGATGAAGCTGCCTGCCCCTGCTCTCGCCCCTCCGAGGAGAAATGCCTCCGGGCTGAGACCTGCCAGCTCGCTGCACCGGGACTGCCGGCCACCGCAGGAGTCGAGCCGCCGGCAGGCGTTCCTCCTTCGTCCTCTGAGTGCGCCGCTGCAAGCCCGGCGCTGTTAAAAATACCTGCTTCGGCGAGATGGCTCTGGGCAGCGTCACGCTCCTGCCTGGCACTACGAGCTGCGGGCGCCGGTGATTTCTCATCACCGAGACATGAAATCCTCCGGGCCAAGCTCCATAGCAGCAGGAGTAAATGCACAGGAGATCAGTGGCTGGGAGAGAGGTGTTCGCCGCCTCGGCACGTGGCTGCAGCAGCTCCTTCGTCAGGCAAAAATCCTATTAAAGCCCACGGTGCTTTTTGCCGTAAAAAGGGAGAGAGAAAATCATGGCTGTACGCGGCAGCTCACTTTCTGAGCTCTGCTACTCTACTACATGCCTGGATTAAGTCCAATAAATGGAGTTATTCTAGATATACACCCGTGTAAGTGGCTCACAAGCCAGTCCACTGGAGTCGCTCCAGGCTTACGGCATTAGAGCGGAGCGCCAAATTTGGTGCCTTAAAAAAATTATACCTGCATTTGTGCAAGGGTGGCTCAAAAGAGCCCTAGCACCGAGGAGGAAGACAGACAGACATTGCTCGGTTAAACACAGTTTTAAGAGCAGTACGCAGCTCTAAGCTAATTAGACTGCACATTTTTTCAAGGTATTGCAAACTTTGGGGCAGAAAGTCTCCTGTCCTACTGCTATTACTGCTATAGTATTTAGATGAGAAAAAAAAAAAAAAGGAAAAAAAAATCAGAGTATTGGAAAGGAATTACTTGCTGATAAGATTGGTTTAAATACAGTATACTCCTTGGGAGTTTTAATCATGAGCAAAATGGTATTTCACCTAAAATATAAAAGGGCCCTGTGCTCTCTGAGAAGCACAGGGAGACCCAGCAGCTGTGAGTGCTGCCAGAGGTAGCTGATCTCACCGATTTTAATGTCAGTGGGCAGAACGTGCTTGGCACCTGGCACGTGAACACCCAACTCCAAGGCTGTGGCCTAAAAACCCGGCGCCTGGGTGGGAGCTGCCACAGCCCTCCGACGGGCTGCAGCCACTGAACGGTTAAAAGAGCCAGCCGCCGAGAAAGGGAAACTCCGAGGAAAGTTTTACGCCAGCTTTTATAAGCGAGGTGCATTCTTGCAGAGCACCACACCTTTGTTAATTCGCAAGAGGGTTCAGCTGACTTGATAAGCACGCCACACGCCGCCTGATCCGCCCGATACCAGCGGGTCGGCGGGGAACAGCCTTCCCCGAGAAGTTCAGTTCAGCCACGGGGAAGCGATCAGATGGCTGGCATCCTTCGATTTTCCGCAAGAGCACGCCGAGGCGGCCGCGCGGGGCTGGAGGTAGCCCGGGCACACGCCACGCACGCACACCTGAATGGCCGAGGAATCCTGTCTGTTACCATGGCAGCCTGATCTAATTACACGACTGATCAGGGCTGGAGTAAGCGCGCTCGCAAGCCTGCACCGCTGACATGTAGCTGCATGACGAGACAGACAGACAGACGGACGGACGGATGGATGGATGGGTGCGGAGGAGCAGCTCTGCGGCATGCGAGCTGCCTGCAGCCACTGGGCCGCTCGTACCCACACCCCAGGGGCGATGAGGCACGGTTACAACTTACTACAACCCTGCAGCATCTCCGAAACCGCTGCGCCTTCCCCGGCCATCCTCAGTTTGCCTCTCCCCCATTCATCGCCCTCGCCGGGGAGCCGAGCAGCGAGGGATGGAGGCGAAGCCTGGATTTTCCTCTAGTGGGAGGCTTCGCTCGAAACTGAAATTAAAAGTCCTTGACTTCCCAGTCTGTAAGCAGAGCCGCTCACTACGCCTGACCACATCTGACACGTAGAAGTAACCCTTCCTGCACAGGGCGCCCAGCCCCGAGCGCTGGAGGTTAACGTGTAACCTGCCTGGCGAAAGGCGAATTTCCCTGCCACACGCAACGAGGAGGTCTCCAAGCAAAGGTCACGGACCTGCACGATTCCCCATCCGCACAAAGAAAAGGCTGCCCAGGGCCAACGTTTCGCGGCCCCGAGCCTCCCCGGCTGGGCACGGGAGGAAGGACCCGAATTTTGGCCGATCCCAGCCCGAGCTGAGGGATGCTGCTCGGAGGAGTCCCTATTACACGGCATACGGTAAACAAAATAAAAATAGCCCGTCGCTCTTGTTATCTGCACGGTGCATTATATAACGGGCTTCCGACTTGTTTTCTTTGCTATTATTACTCTCCAGCAATTCCTCCTCTCCGAGAGCAGGCAGATCGCTCCCAATCCCCTCATTTTTATCATGATTCTCGCTCTTACGGCCGGGGCCGGCGCCTCGCAGCGCGCTGTAATTCCCACTTTAATCTCCCGAGGAAGCACCCACACGGCACGGACGGGAAGGGAGGGGGGAAGGGGGTCATTTATTCCTCTGCTCCCGGCGCACTACCACCCTTTTAGCCTCAAAATAATAATAATAAAAACGGAAGGGAGAGGTGCCACCCCAACCCAGCGCGGCGCCGGGGACGAGCCCGAGCCCGGGACCTGCGGGCGGGGGGCGGAGGGGGGCGGCCTCCCCGTGCCCCCCGTGTCCCCCTGCCCCATGTCCCCTGTCCCCGTGTCCCCCTGTCCCCCTGTCCCTCTGTCCCTCTGTCCCCTTGTCCCCCTGTCCCCGCCCCGCTCCCCCCGGCCGGCGGTACCGGGTGGCGTCCAGCAGCCGGCCTGGGCCCGGGGCGAAGCGGCTCGGGGCTGCCTCCGGGCACATCCCCGGCCCAGCGCCGCCTCCTCCTCCTCCTCCTCCTCCTCCTCCTCCTCGGCCGCCTCCTCGCTTCATTCACCCTCCGGCAGCCGCCCAGCCCCGTACTACGTACGCCGGGAGGCGGCCGCCGGCCCTGCCGGCACCCGGCCCGCCCGCCGGGCCCGCACGGCCACCCCCTGCGGGCTGTGTGTGTGTGTGTGTGTGCCCCTGGCACACTCGTGTACACACACACACACACACACACACACATACACATACAGTGTCGCCACCCCTTGTCACACACACACAGCCCGTGTCACCCCCCCGCACCACCACCACACACACAAACACACACACACACACCCCGAGGCCGCCGCCGCTCGCAAAATGTCCACCCTCCCCGCGGCCACCGGCACCCCTCCGCAATCCTCCTCCTCCTCTTCCTCCTCCTCCTGCTGCTTCCTCACCCCCCGGGCTGCCTGAGGAGGAGGAAGAGGAGGAGGAAGAGGACCCCCCCCCCCCTCCCCGTCTCGCCACCCCTCGGCCATTTCGCGGCCCCCGCCCGGCCGCAGCGAGCTGCCCCCCCCCCCCCCCCCGGTGCACAGCAGCCCCCCAAAATCCCCGTCCCTGTGTTTTTCCAGCCGCCTAAACAAGGGAAGGAACCCGGGGGGGGCAGGCAGAAAGCAGAGGAGGAAGAAAAAGGCACTTACTGTAAAGTGTCAGTGGAGGTGGGGCTGGCGGGGGGGTCAGACAGAGGCTCGCACACAAATCTCTTCCTAGCTTCCAGGGGGCTTGGGGCTGATTTTTCTCTTTTTTTTTTTTTTTTTTTTTTTTTTTTGGGGGGGGTGGGTGGGGGTGTTGTTTGTTTTGCTCCTTCCCCCTGCAGTGACACGGGTCCGGGATGTCTCCGGCGCTGTAGTAGCAATGATGTCTGCGGTGCAGCGCCCGCTCCCTCTCCGCTCTCCAGTATGTAAATGTGTAAGAGCAGCCAAATATGGAGCAGTTGGCTGCCTCTGCAACAGCTCAAGGATCCGACTTCATGCAAAAGAGGGGGGGGAAGGGAGGAGGAGGAGGAGGAGGAGGAGGAGGAGGAGGAGGCAAGGCAACACTCTGGCAGGCGGCCAGGCGAGCCGCACAGCTTATTGCATACACGCAGCACCGCCGGGCCCAGCCGGCCTTAACCCTTTATGCGGCCACCCCGGGGGCTGTGGGGACCTGTGGTGGGGGGATCCGGGGTTTGGGGGGCTCCTAAGGGGTGCCCACCCCCGGCTACGCCCTGCCCGCAGCCCCCCAGGGTGAGCTGCCCTCCGCCACCGCCGCCGTGGGCACGCTGCGTAGCGGGGACCTGGCAGCGGTTTGCAGGGTGAAGTAAATGAGCTGGGGAGACAAAAAAAAAAAAAAAAAAAAAAAAGAAAAAACACAACGCTATATTGTTTAACGGGGAGGGCAGAGGCGGCTAGCGAAGCGTGCCGTCCTTCAGAAATGGCAGGGAGCGCTGGTTCGAGGGATGCGTGGAAATCGGTTGCTCGGTCGAGGCCGGTCTGCCTCTCTAGGGGAGGAAATAAAACTGTGCTGGAAGCCAGGGAATGCTCTGAAGCAGCCTCTGTGCGAGTCAGAAGAGGGTGATTTTATTTAAGATGCCATATTGCATTTCACTGTGGAGAGCTGCGACGCGTTGTAGAGCAAGAGCCCGCATCCCACTCCCGTTTTCTGAATTAGTTTTATTTATCCGGATCCTTGGCATATGCTTGAGTTGCTTTGTAGAGAGTACCTTCCACTTCATTCAGACCAAAGAGGCTCTGACTCATACCGTCACTGAACTACAAGACAGGCAGGGCTGCACCACGCATGTTTGGGTACTACCTCCCTCTGGATTCCTCAGCGCGCACTTCATCAGAATCCCCTCACGTCTCTCCCAGCTGTACGCAGACCCCTGCGAGCCTCTCCCAAACGCTCCCCCGGCAGGGAAACTTACACTTTGCCGATGCTCCCCCGCCAGCTCCTTACCCTCTTGCTTCTCTCACATGCATCTCTGCCGTTCCATAAGCTGCAGCGACCGGCGGGCAAGTAATGAGCACAGATGCAAAGTGTTGAGCAGAGAAAATACCTCCCGCCGTCTGGTTTGGTCTTTGAGTCTTAGAAGAAATGACAAAACACCAAATTACCAAGACAGGTACATCTTGAGGAAATAAGTTATGGACAAAATGAATGGGAGGAACACAAAGGACAACGGGCAGCTCTGCTTGCATGCAACCTGACAGCGGTCTGCAAGGAAGCGTTCCCTCTGCTTTTGCATCAGGTAGGGAGGTACAGAGCTGAGAAACCCTCTCCCCACCCCGAAGGCACCACAAACAAACGTACCAAAGGCCCTGAGGTACACAGCTGGGTGCTGTGGGGTCACCATCCCCAGCTTACAGGCCTCAGTAAAGGCTCCAGGAGCGCCGTCGGCACACTCCCTGCCATGTGGCCACCCAGGCCAGGCTGCTCGCTGCAGCTTGGGCCCATTCGCCCCCACCACCACAGCGAGCTCCAAGCCGCCAGATCTCCAGTGCAGATACATCTCTCATGTGTCCATAGATATTAGCATTTTAGCATTGTATCTAGCATTAGCATCTAGATGCAAAGCACCCTAGTGCTCTGCCAGCGTGCAGACGAGCAGAGCAGTCCCTTCTCCAAAGGGCTGTGCTAGCTCTCCGTAATTGCCAGAGAATTTAATAACAACACTGAAAGCTGCAGAGCTCTTGATTTAGTGTTGATACTGTAATATAGACTGGCTTTATGAAGCTTACGGATCTTTTACCAGTGCAACTTCTGCGTCTTTAGTTCAGGTTCACTATGAAACCCAACATCGTGTGCCACCTTAGGAGTGGTCTGGGGACAGCAGCAGCAGCAGGCCAGGATGTCTGGGCAAACGTGCCACTCAGCACTACGAGACAGCACATCCACAGCAGCGTAGCAGACAGCAAATGATCTTCACCCAGCTAATGCAAGGTTCATTGATTTAATAAAAGGAACCACGGGAGAGAGGCAGAGGCTGGAGATTACTGAAAATCAAGCGAAGGCCCCGGAGAAGCTGCAACCCCATCCTCGGGGTTCAATTCTGCGTGCGCGGCATTCTCCCGACTGCCACCTTTTTTATTCCAGTTGTACTCCTGTTACCTCAGGAGAAAGGAATCTTTCCTTCTCAAACCTTCACCTTGCCAAGAGGTGTGGCACGCGCGGAGAAAGAGAAGCCACATTCATGCTGAAGCAAGCTTTGGGCAACTTTCCCTTCTCCAGCAGACTCATGTAAGAGGCTTGTGTATTCCTCTGTCCTGTGGCTACGGTGTAAGCCACAGGACCCACATTTTTTGCCATGCTCCAGGCTTTCGAATCTCTGCCCATATTTCTGCCTCAGAGTTGAAAAGAAACCCCTAAAATGTAAGTCAATGGTAAATTGAAGGAATATTCATTTTCCTGAGCTAGCATGGCTTTGGGAAGTGCCATAACTGCAGCCAGCCACATCAGGTTCGTGAGCCATTGCTCACCTCCCATTCGACTTGATGGATGTTGGTTGCATAAGATGATAGAGATAAGGGGACTGCGCCTCCACCGACATTTCCCGACACCCAGGTTGTGCTACCACGTCTCAAGGTGTCATTGTGCCTCTGCAGTTCCCTACTGAGGGCCAACACTGGGGCTCAAAATAGTCCCTCCATGGTGAAAACCACAAAATATGGAAGCTCTGGTGAAGGCAGTGGTGAGAAACAGCACCTGAATGTGATCTTTGCTGAACAGCCGGCACAAAGGCCCTTATTGTCCATTAAGACAGTGCGGCCTATTGACCCACAAGTGCAGAACTAAGACAGGAGAAAAAGGCATCTGTGGCACAAAAGAGACGTGATTACAGACCAGGGCAGTCCAGACAACGTGAGTGGAGAGGGGCAGGACGGAGAGGGGCTCCAACACCTCGGTGGTGAGTGGGCCACAAGGCCCCCCACCACTCGAGATGTTTTATCTCCTGCCAGTGACCTGCTGAGACGGGTATGACTCCCAGCTGAATACCTTCCTGACCAAAAGGTAGTTATCAATTTGACATGCAAGACGCACACTATCTATCAGAAACCATCTTTTGATATACCAGTTGTAGTGTCATCTACATGCATGTATTATGCAGTTAACAGCATCTGTGAAAAATGGGAGAATAAGAGGCATAAGGATGTGGATTTTTTTTAAACATTCACATTCAGGGAAATCCAGTGATTGATGACGTATTGCGTGTGAAAAGTAATTTTACAATTATCGATTATTACAGTCTAAGTCTTCAATTTGTCATAAAATGACATTGTTGGTCTCATTACAGCCTCTAGTGGACAGTAGTAATCCACTTCACAGACCTGTCATACCGTTTGCTCAGATGACAAGCATTATCAAGGTGGAGGTTTCTCTGAAAGAGCACAAACATGCCATCATTCCCATCCCATGGAAAAAAGGATTTTTCAATACAGTCAAAGGTTTGCTGGCATTGCTCTTAAGGTGCCCGTCTTTGTGCTTCAGGTACTAATACTGGCTTGTAAATAAACAGAGAACTACTGCTATTCATTTCACTTTCAGACAGCTTTCATAAAAACTAAATTCATCTCAAATATTTTTATAACAGAAAATATTGGTTGCCATGTTTTTGGCTTAAGTAAGATGTTTTGATTCCAACTCAGAATCTGCCGACTGTCCAATCCACCTCCTATCTATTTATAGCCTGCTAGCATTCAGATAATTTTTGCTAATGCAGTTATTTTCATTATTATTTCAGACATAGGCAGTTGATTTAAGGTATTTTAACAGCTTTAGCAAATGAGAAACTATAATTTGGATTACAGCTGGCTAATTAAGGTACGCTTTCCTCAGAGAAGCTAAACATGTACACGATCCGAACAATAACATATTTAGAATGTATTCTTTAACTTGAAGTGCCACTTGTGTGAACATAATAAGATATGACTAACATCTTTATTTTTTGTGAATTCGCTTAGAAATTAGTGTATACCCTGTCAGAACAGGGATGCTGATGAAGTTCTCCAGAATTCTTACCCGTGATTGTTTTCAGATGGAAGGAAATTAGACTGGTAGGCACGGAGAACCAATGCTGTCTCTTTAAAAGCCACAAATATCTCATGCAAATTAACATTTAGTGAAATGAGAGCAAAGCATTCATGAGGACTAAGCAAGTATGTAGTACTACACTGCGACTCAGACAACTCTACGGTCTAATATGCTGAGGTCCTTTGCAAGTGAATTCAAAGGAAAGGCTGCTGTTAACTTATTTTACCACACTGTGCCTAGGAATGGGTTGTAGGGGCACTGCACAAACCATTGTTTGCCATTCCTTATCATATAGTAATGCGATATTTACATAAAAAGCGTGTACCTCATCATTGTCTTGTTTTTTGAAAAGAAGCACTTGAGTTGCTCTTTAAATAACAATGGCTTCAATAGCTTTAAAATAACAATAGCTCCTTAGATGCAGATCTAAAATAAGTTTGGTGGTGTGTTTTTTTTTTCATTTGTTTGTTTTAAACAAGGAAAGCAATTCACTAAGGGATTAAAAAAAAAAAAAAAAAGAAAAAAAAGACTCCTATAAAGTCTTAAAATCAGGACTGACGTAGTTTTTTGAATATGTTGTCCATCAGGCCATTGACTTAGAAGGAAAAGCAGCTAACCTACCAGTGGCAGCCCTGGGACTGACCACAGCCACACCTAGCCCCAGAAGTTGTTCCTGTCACGACCAGTGGAAAATAAAAGTGCTAAGCCCTTCTCTAGAGGTGCTTAGTTGGTCTAGGCACCTCTCAAGTAATAACTGGTGTGAGTTGTTAGGTGCTTTGTGGTGTAAAGATGTCCAGGGCCTCCATCCATGTCCTGGCCTCCACATAACTCCGCTGGCACCGCACCTACCCCTACAGGTGGCATGCGCAGAAGGGCCAACAGGGAATGGAAACTCAGCAGCCGTTTTATTCCTAGAAGTGATCGCTTCATATCAGGGTCAAAGTACACCAGCAGAGAACACAGGGGAGGCTCCATCGTGTGGAAAATTCTTGGCTTCCAGGGCTGTCAAGGCAGCGCTGTTAACGAGGATTAACATTCAACCAAAATGACGGTGAAGAACTAACGAGAATTCACCCACCGCTCTCTGGGAGAGGGCTCTTGGCTTCTGGCAGGGAGCAGCCAGAGTCCACACGGGTTTTCCCTTTAAACCATACCTGACACAGGGACTTATCTGGGAGTTCACTTGCCCTTTTTTTTTTGGTCTGTTACAGGCGTTATGGCCTAGACAGATTAGATTAGCATCCATCATGTTAACACTGGATTGGGAAGTAACTCTTGGACTTTCTTAAGTGTCTTAACCTTCAGAAAGGCAGTGTGGTTTCTAAGACCTGTTCACAGTCTTGCTGATCAATGCTATACGTATACTGATAAGCGCAATGAGTTTTCATGGGAGGAGAAGGGGATAGAATGAGCTACCTGTTTGAACAGACCTAAGAATTGAAAACATGGGTTTTTGACACCTCAGTACTTTAATGGCCCCAACAGAGCTGTTCCAGTCTATTGAACAAATCCTTCCAACCTCATGGATCATTGACCTAACAGACCTTCAGAGCCAATAAGCTCAGCCCTGCTGCCAAGCCTGCACATTTTGTCCACGCGCTAAAAATCTTTACAACGTCTTTTATTGAGAAAAGGTGCAGCATATGAATAACAGCTATTCTCTGCCCTTACTGCCTCTACCTCTTCACAAAATATAACACACAAGGGCCTTGGCCTCAAAGCCCTCATGAAAATTTGGAGCTGAAGTTTACCAAATTCAGCCAATGTTGGCACATCTGGGCTCCCACCTTGGTTTCAAGACAGGAATAAGTGTAAGTTGCTGTACATCCAAGAATAGAGTTATTTTGTACCTATCTTTCCATTGCACTGTCAAAAGGAGAACTAATAACTAATACAGTAGTAACCAGAAGTAGAGTGATAGTGCCAAGATATTAGTACCTTGTACACAGCAAAGGATGTTATTTCTTAACGATTGTTTGTTTTGAAAAGGCACTGTATACCACAAATCTGTGGCCACTTGGAACACATAAATGGAGACTGAACGGTGTATAAACATCAAAGATTTAAGTGGGATAAATTGGGCATGAATGAATTGCTATGCCCCCTTAGATTTGATCCATAGTCATAGTCAACAGGAAAATCTTTAGGCAGAGGACCGTAGACATGACAGGACTGAGAATTTTCTGGAGAGTAAGAAGTCCTCAGCTTGCAAGCCTTTAACAAACAACATAGTAAACTTACCTTTCATCCAACTACAAGGAGTATTTTGCCTGTTTCTTCTGCAGGATCATGGAGATGTGGTGTCCTAAGAAGCCTGAAACTTCAAAATTAAAAAAAAAAAAAAAAAAAGTCCTGGAAAGGCTGAGGTAGGATATCACATTAAATCAGATTTATTTCAGTTTATGTAGACTGGTTCAAAACTAGACCGGCATTGCTTTGACGTCTTACAGTCTGAGGGCAGCATCTTGCCCTCAGAGATCTTCCAGATCCTCCTGTTCTTTCTTTACCCTTCAGCACATGCCTTTCTACTAATGTCAGTAATTGTTTCCACCTTGGATGTAATGCCTTATGATGTCTCTCTTTCTCCCTGCTTACTTTTTCCACAGGAGAGTTTCCACCTGCCTTCCTACCTTGCATCTGCTCTCATATTGTCCTCATATGACATCATTTATTTATTTACACTTAAGGTAGTGAAAGATACCTCTGCAAAGCTCTAGAGGTCCTGGCACTCAGCAATTGAAAGAAAAATACAGCACTATGAAAGCAGTTTTCTCAAAAGGAACTGAGTTGGGCATCCCGGTACAGGAAGAAACACCTGCCTGCTGAAAGCACATCTTCAGCCTTACCTCAAAGTGTGTGTCTTTTGCCATGGGACTTCTCACAAAATCAAAAAAATCAAGCCCTTGTGAAGTGTACCTACTATCACAGGGACAGACTTGCTCTTACAAGGATTGTTCTGCCATAGGGTCAAGAAAACTGCAAGAACAGTGTGGACACCTGAGGGCAGGACCATCTCATCGCAAGCTATTCACACACAAGAGATGCTAGTTCTGAAATGGTTCCTCACTATACATTTATCACAGCTCATATTCTCATTTTCTTGGCACAGAAGGACCTAAGAATGGCTATACAGAGGCCATAAGACAACAGTGGTCATAAGGAGATACCTCAGGAGGCATAGGCAGCCATGTACTGCTTCCTCCACATACTCTCCGGACTCTTGCTATTTTCAACGCAAGGGGCATCTTGAGTAGGATGTGATTTCTTTCCTGCTTAGTAGCCCTTGGTGGATTTCTCTCTCAAGACTTGTGCAGTCTTCCCCTGAGCACATGTAAACTTCACGCATCCACTGTCTCTTACGTCACATTGCCCAGGTCGAGTCCCTGGTGCAAGATTTGTCTCTTTCCATCTGCTTCATCCCGTGTTCCTGGTTCTTGCACAGAGTCAGTGGCCAGTCTCTACCCACACACTCCACGCTACCCAGAACTTCGCAGACATCTCTCATATTCCCCCTAAACTGTCCTTCCAAGAAGGAAAAGGTCTAGCCTATGCCTCTGTAACACAAACTGCTCTGTTAAAGACTTCACTGCTTCTGCTGCAAATCTAACCTGGTTTTGACTCCTGTTGTCTTGGTCTTAGTCCTGTCACATGCTCACCGACTCCATTCTTCTGCCTGTAGAAAAGGAATAGTAAAAATGAACCTTTTATCTTGCAAAACAGTGATGACACAGTAGAGTAGAAGTATTATTACTACTAAAGCAATATAGAACACTCCCTTTTCCCAAGGCTTAGCCAAGGACTCAGAAAAGCAACAATTCCACATATCAAGGACAAAACAAAACAGTATTCATGTAAACAAAAATAAAACCATGATACTATTTACATTTTTTTCATACTTATGTAGCAGCACAGGCTAAAACCCTTTCCTTTTCATAAACTACCCCTGTCAACCAACCTACACTGGTATTAAAATCTGAAGTGACGGGACATCTCCCACCAACCCCAGGAAATTATTTCACACACTGATACGCAGATCAGGTCTGAAAGATCTGAAATGCTACAAAAGTTGGATTACGTGGTGGTTTTTCTGCCATTTAATCTCTCTCCCCTTTCTTTCCATGATAAATCCCATCTGTTAGGACAGAAACATCACGTCATTTCTCTCCCTTGTTCGGGCCATCGTCAGCTAGGTGTGTAAACGCGGTGTCTGCTTTAAGGCGTACAAGTTGTCCCATTGCCTCAGTGGTTCTGAATCACACATATAAAGTCAGCTACGTGCTTGAGGGTATGCCTTTGTGAGCAACTTAAGGTGAGGCAATCAAGGGTGTGGATTTACAGGACACCAGCTCCTCTGTGGTAATTGCAGGGATAAACACCCTTTGCCTGCCAGTAAAAGCAGTGTAGGTTAGCCCAGGGACAGACCCAGCTGAGGTCCCTCTGCCGCCCCACAGGCACTTTGGCTGCTGTTCCCTAGCACTGCTCCTTCTGTCAGTCACTCCCCAGCAGTAATACCATGCCCACAAGTAACCAAGATAGCTGCATACGGACAGGAACTGCCACTGCCCTCACCTCCCGAGTGACCCACCTGCAGGCACACTTTGTTTAATACATGTACTCCGCTATGATCTTGCAAACAAGCCCTATTTGCTAGGCTATACCTTCCCTGCTGTATAATGGCTCCAGCCCTTTTTTATGTCTATGTAGCCTGGTATAGTCGTTGCAGAGCTTTCATCATTTATCACGCCCAGGTCCTCCAATTTTTGAACCCCTCTGATTCCCTCTGCTGGTTAAAAAGGTAAAGGGGGGTGCATGGAGTGGGGAGGGAGGGTGGGAAACAGCAAGCAATTCCTCCGATAATTCACACATCCAAACACACACATCCATATCTGTGTGTGCCCAACGTGGCAGGAGGGGGCAGCGGGGACAGAGCTCACCGCTGCTGTACACCCCAAGGATGCTTCATAGAGCCTGTAGGTGTTTTCACAAAACATATATTCCTCACAGGGTCCTGGGCAGAGCTTATCAGCTGTACAGAAATTCCTGCACAGTTTACAATCTGGGCAAGCATCCCAGCCCCAGTGTTGTCTCTCACTAGAGTCTCTTCAGAGTACCAGAGGTTCCCAGGAATGCTCCCAGAAGCTTTTAGCTCAGCCTGAGTCACTGCCAAGTTGATCGGTTCCTTGGAGCTGCCTGTAGTGATCGTCCTGAAAACTGCAGGGGGAGAGCTTGCAGGCTCTGTGAGAGTCCCTAAAAAGCTCAACTTGTACAGGAGTCACGGCCTGGCCTCCAAAAACTGTTATCTGAACCGAGACGTATTTATCACAACCTTTCGCACATTTAAGGTCTCTCCAGTGCGATCACAAAATCTGCACGATTTCTGTGGCTTGAAATGAAAGCCTTTTCATGGAAGTTACTCCTTCTGTGATTTCCTAAGATCATTGTTTATATTAGAATAATCCCTCAGATCTATAAATGAGGATCAACGCCCCTTTCCTGTTTTAACTAGATGCTCCAATCTGTTACATGAGGCCAAGCTTCCTCCCCCGGCAGCTGACAATACAGGCACACAGGTTATGCTGCCTGCAGTGAATGACACAGCCAAACACTCCATTATTTGGCAGACCTCTGGGAACAGCTCTGTCCCGAGAAAAGACTGGACTTTTTAGAACAGCTGATTTTTCAGAAACGGCATATGATCAGCGGGGCAAAAAGGCAGATTTCTCCAGTGGTGAAAGAGCAATGCTACTTTAACATATAAAGTTATGATTTCCTGAAAACAAAAGAAGAAACCCCACAAACAGCAACAAATCCACTTCTGAAGAACCTGATATTCCTTACTTGCTGTGCTTTCTTAGGATTCACCTATCTTCTTGCACGTTAGCATTTTTAATGCTTTTTTACCAGACAAAATGTTCATCGGGTTTCTTAAGTTCCTTCCTCTGAATCTATTCTTGTATCTGTACTTTCCTTGAATAGCACGTTGAATTCATGCAGGTTACAGTCAACAGTTCCTATATTCCTTACAGCTCAAAACTTCACCGAACAGAAAGGCAAGCTGGCAGCACATACCAGCTTGAAATCCTCACTATCTGGACAATAGACCAGAAAAAATAATAATAATATTTTTTTCTTTATTTCAGGACCTAAAACCCTGGCTGTATAATTAAAGTCTAGACTGTTAAAATTTATTGAAAATACATTTACCGTGGAAATGTGTCAGCTATCAGTTATTACACTTCACACTCTGCGAACTGTGCGGTGTTGCTATTTTGTTTTGTTTTGATTTTTGTTCCTTTTCAACTAACCCCAAAGAATTTCACTCTCACCCATCGTGGTTATCAAGCTGTAATTTGCCAGCCGTGCAACTGTTGGTGATGTGCAACACTCTCTTCTGTTCTTCCAGGCTCCTTATCTGCGGTACACACGGATCGATAGCCCTTCTCTGCTGATATTCCTCTTCAGAGCATGAGCTCACCCTCGTCAGGAGTGCCCACATAGCCTCCATCACTGGGTGACAGCGCTCCTGGTCTGTTCCCCAAACTCCTCCACACAGACACTTGGTATGTAAATACTCCCCTTAATCTTCGTCTTTTGTCTCAAGGATAAAAACAAAACCAAACAATAACAAAACCTCCCCTGTTTTGCATGCAGGGAGCGCATGCCATTAATATTAATTAATTTATTTATTTAAAGCCGGTAAAAGAATTTGCTCTTAGGCTGGGAATGTGACTGCCAAGTTTCCTGCCTGCAATTTGTTACGGCTCAGTAGTAAACTCCTCCTGAAAATAGGAATCTGAAATGGAAATACTGACGGGCCTTTTAACCGCGCCGTAACAAGCAGGGTGCTTTACCCCGCAGTGACACAGTGGCAGCTATCGTAGGGCGCACGGAAAACAAACAAGGCCTCTCTGCATCGCGCTCCTGCCTGCAACCGGGCAGACGCAGGAAGCGAAAAGGGGCCGAAAGACAAAAGCCCAGAAGGTCAAGCACACCACGCCCGAGCCCGAGCCCTTCTGCTGCGCCGCCGAGCACCGGGATCCTGCAGAACTTGCACTTGAATAACTTGCCTTTGATCAGCTTGCCATGAAAAAAGAGGTGTAGCCTGCTACCTCGCTAATGGGGGTAAGGAATGAGACTTTCCCATAAGGCTTAAGCTGCAAATTAATGTACCCAGGCTTGCCCTGTTAGGCAGAACAAAGCTCCCAAAAGTGTCTGTTGCAAACTCTCCTTATCTGCTTAGCCGTGTACGTTCCTTGTAGTTCTCCAGATGTAAAACACACGGATGCTGAAGCTGGTTTGCATGCCATCTTTTGAGTGCGGGTTGAAAAATGTTATTTTTCACAGTTGCTGAACACTTGGAGTCCCAACAAAAGTCAGCCGAGTGCCTCCGGATTTACACCTGTGGAAGCGACAGCACCTTTGCATCTCCATGGAAGTAAAACATTGCTGTTATTTTTCACAAGGTATTTGGCAGCGAGGAAAATTACTGAATCGTACGCATGCAACAGAATCGCTGGGACCCGAGCCTCACACTTCTGCTTTGTAGGACACATGCTTAAATGCCATATATTGAACTGCCACATCATGTCTATTTTTACTAATTGAGTTTACTTACTTGTGTTTGGGCACCGTACCAGCTACTCAGCAAGTCCGGGAGATTAATGTAAAAGCCTCTCTCCATTTAGAAAGTAAAGGCACTCTAGATTTACAGCTGCTTATTTTGAGGGTGGCTGACTGCTGATCCCGATGTCTTTGAGTAACAGATGGTTTTCTGAGCTGCACTGATAATGAAAATGATATAATTTACCACTTAACATTAAAATACAGCACTAGAGGCAGAACAGAAGAAAAAGCAGTGTATTCACCTTCTACAAATGGCGTACCTGAGAAGAAGGGGAAAAAAAAAAAAGCCCAGGGAAACGTGAAGGCTATCAATAGTCTTGGATATTCACATGAGGAAAAACTTGCATAAAATAACCTGGCCTGATCTGGACTGTGAAAGCATTGGCCCCTGTGATGTTAGAATTTATAGCTTTAATCTTCTTAAGAGCCGCATGGCTCTTCTCACATGCGGGGAAAACAGATTTGATGTTTCTGAGATTAAAACTACTGAGCTGAACTTTGCTTGTTATTGGCTAAAAGCGTTTGGAAACCTAATAAAGCATTCCATTAAAATCTTGGCATTTTAGTAATACAAAAGATAGGCTCCTCAAAATGTGAGTCTAGGTCAAAAGGATACGTTTTGGGGGTGGGAGATTCCAGAATTTGGATTTTAACAAAGTTTGCAATGACTTAAAAATAGATCAAGGGAAATGGAGGGTAGAATGGAACAATAAATGCTTGATGTAACTAGCATTGTGAAATGCTCTGTTATTTAAACTTTACGATATTTAAAGACATTTTTTTTTCATGTTCTTGTACTTTTGTGAGGCCATGAATAGCTGGAAAAAGTACAACACACATCGCTGACTAGCTGTGTGGTCTTTAACAGGTAACACAAGGCCTGCTTTTTTCCAAACGATGAGGATCCACAACCACAGCTGTGATAAATGTGAGCTTGTGAGCTGCTAGTATTCTGGGCTGTAGATGATCAGCTTTACTCTGGGAGGAAGAAAAAAAAAAAAAAAAAAGCTCTGTCAAGGCTTGCTAGGCTACAATTTTAGCTGCATAGGAAGCCCACGCAGAACACAGTTAACCACCTATATGTCAGCGCATGATTTGGTTTGATCTATGAGGATGCAAGCAACGTTTCTGCAGAAAGAAGCATAATAATCATAGCGGTGGTATGGTGCTATGAGCTTAAAGCTGTAGAATGACTAAAAAGGGTGGTCTTGCCTTGCCAGAAGTGGCACAACCTCAGGCAGTGTCATTTTAAAGATGTAAGTGGTCTGGTGGCAGCTGCACTGCCCAGAGCCCTTGGTTTCCTCCTCCACCAAGGCAGAGTGAAGAGGAGCCTCATTAACCACTGTTTTTACTGTGCTCTGCAGGAAAACAAACAAACAAGGAGAAATAAAGCCTCATAACCAAGCATAAAAGAAATAAAGGCTCATAACCAGCCCTAAAAAATGACAGGTTTCTTGCTAGGGTTTATTGAAGGGGCTTGTTTTTTTGTCACAAGGTAAACAACATTAATTCCAGCCTGCTTTGAAATGGCTTGTTCCTGTCTGTACTGGCAAAGACAACTATGCCAGAGTTTGCCTGCACATGGTTATATCTAATTCAGATCTTCTAATTGCAGTCTACTTGTACTGGACAGGCTGAAAGTACGGAGGCTATCTTCTGGAAAGCTCCTGGCATGCCTGTAGTGATGGTTGGGCGATAGAGACGATCGAAAGTCCTGAGGCAAATTTTAACCTGGATTTTACCCCACTCAGGGAACCACTGTGTTGAACCTGGATCACACGACCTGTGCAAATGAGTCTTACACGGGTTACACAAGCTCACACCGCTGCAAACGACCCCGCAGAGTTCAATTTCTTGAAGCCATTTTCTGTCCTTTCTAGAGAAATTTCCCTTTATACTGCTGAACATTGCCAGGTGCTCTGAAAACCGGCTGGTACCGTGGCTGGTTTGCTTGATTTTTTGTGGCAGGCACTGACATATGACGAGCTAGCTACTGTAACAGATGCTATTTGACAGTGCAAAATAATAGCGCTCAGACTTAAACTGTAAATTATAAACAATCCCTCTAACTACAAAATGAAGACTCCGAATGGGGAGCCTTGTCAACTAAGATATTAGTAAATCAAGTTGAGGAAGACAAATTATTCACTGAAGCTAAAGTAGCTAAAATTTTATTCGGTTAACACTACTGTCATTAGAGTTCGCCTCTTCTTTGCTGTAATTAGTAGATACGAAGCAGTCATTATGAGCAACACAGAGTAAAATCAGCTTTCTTGCTGTGTAAAAGCAATAGAAAGTGCTTCTCTTCTTCTGTTTTACTCATTTATACTGGTAGAAAGGATGCTGTGCAAATACTTCTGGTAGGATGCCTGGCCACATCAAGACAGCCATTTCCCAAGGGACTTGATAATTATGTTTTCCCCACCAAACCACATACAGGGCCATGAATCAAAAGTGACCTTGTTGGCCCGCTGGTGCAGCTGCCATGTATTTGATTACAAACTTACTGGTGCCAGTGCCAAGAAGGGGAGTTACAACATAAGCTGAAAATGAGTTCAAGCGCAGCTTTCCTCACAGAGTGTCCCTGGTAACGTGGCTGCAGAAGGCGTTCAACACACACAGATGATTTTTTTTTGACCTTTAAAGAAGATGCATTCCTTTGGTCCTCCCTACCTGTTCATGAGATCCCAATGCAAAGTGCTCCAGAAAGGTGTGTTTGGGCGAGTACCCTAGGTTACGAGGTCTGCAGGAACAGCTGGAGAACTTGTAGCATTTCAAACCTAAGTCTTTTTCAGAAAAGAGGTGGAAGGCAGGCAGCGAACATGAGCAGGGGGGTGTATGCAACGCCCAGCACTGGGCATAGGCCCATAATTAGGCCTTGTATGTATTAATGTCAGCAACAAAAAAAAAAAAGGTTACTTTTGAACTGAGCACAGGTCTAGACTTACAGACACTGGATTCAGGAAGGGAAGGGAGAGGAGAATGCAGTCCTACTCTCAGCACCACCTGCTGCGATGACAGCTCAGCCCTGCGCTCACATCAGCGCTGACTCCTGGCACCTTGTGGGGCTGAGCCACATCAGGGCAGGACAGGAGAGGTGGTGGCACCGCACAGAAAGCCTGGCACGAACCCAATGGACGTGGCTGCTGCAGATCAATTTACCTTCTTCCTCCTCGCCAGACTGAGTGGCAACGTGGGCACCAGCCCCAGTAGCTTTGTCAGTGCTGGCTGAGTTTGGGGCACACCCAGCTCAGTTGCCAGAAGAACCTCCCAGCATCAAAATACTTATCTTAGGGAACACAAAGGGACAGGACGTGCCCTCTGGAGCCTTACAAAAGGGTTTCTGCAAACAACAAGGAACGGGGCTCCCCTGGCTGCGCACAGCTGGCTCGGTGGCTTTTTCCCATTTCTCTACAGGCCCAGGGTGCTTGTGTGCAAGTTATGAGGAAACCAGCAGCCCAGCTAGCCTGCTAGGAGACCGCAGTGAGATTGCTTTAGGTAACACAGAGAAAGGACCCCTTTCCCTGGCCACTCCCTGGTCCCCAAACCGCCAAGCACTCCCACCTGGCACCCATGCGGGAGCCTCCACTTGCCTGCCCTGCAGTGTTTGTGCTCCCCCAGGGACACGGCAGGGCAGGAAGGTCCCTTAGTCCCCGCTCCTTAGGGCTGAGAAGCCAGGTGAACCCGTTAGTCTCATTTTAATGCACGTGGCAAATTCACCATGCAAATCGAACGTGGCTGGCGGTTTGCGCCCATGATGCAAACTAAACCCAAAACAGCAGAAGGGTCATAAAGCAGGGATTAAAGTTCAACAAGGAAGCTGATAATGAAGAAGCCTGCCCAGACTATGCCCTGTTCTAGCCACCATTACATTATCTTCTAATTTTAGAACAGCTGATTTTTTTTTTCTTTCTCCCAGACCAGAAGTTGACGAGAGGCTGAGCAGCGCCGATGCTGCTAAATCTTTGTTTTCAGACGCCGTGTTGTCTCCACACTGCAAGAAGTTGTTTCAGCATGTGAAATTTTACAGGAAGGCACACACTGTTGGTGGATGCCCATGCAGGGAGCTATGTAATATGTTGAAACCATCTGGCATTTTGCGGTTTTACTCTATCAGTCAGACGCACTGTCTGGAAACACAGGGCTCAAACCCAGAGTCCTTGATTCAGGTCAGATACCTGCAGATGCCCGCGGACGTTTGGCCGGACTAAGAGCTGCAGAATAAAGCACTTAATTAGGCGGCTGAAGTTTACGATTGATTTCAAGGGCAGCTGAGTTGGAAGCCTATTACTGCTTAGGAAGTTTTAGCGCATGTAATTATTACAGCGTGTTTGATATAACACATGGTCCCGGTGAAATGCTCCAAAATACCATTTTAAAGACTTTGCCTGTTACTGTTATGCTTTGTACCTTCTGACTAAGGAGCAGGCTAGTTGGATCTCGATGTGAAGCTCACTGAAAACTAGCACTAAAATTAATAGAGCATAGTTACAGGAGAGTATTTTATATAGAATTACTTTCTCCGGAGTGTGAACAGTGCTGCTGCAAGCAGGCTCTGGGTTACATTAGTCCTGCGATCCAAATTTTTTTAACCAGCTGATGTCACCAGGGAGATTTGAAGTCTTTATAATTACAGCTCGAGGCCTGGAGGAAGAGGGGAGCAAAGACAATGAAATTATGTTTCGTATGTTGATTCAGAGAGTAACCTGCACTGGCCTGTTACCTTGCTTCATCTATCAGGAAAAGCAAATTAATGCCGTATCCAGTCGGCTTTATGAGTGGCAGCTCAATTTACTCCCCCCGTTAAGAAGGGAAGAAAGTGGCCTTTTGTCACAAACAATCGCTTCCTGCAATGCTGCCGAATAAGATGTAAAATCGGCAAAGCGCTCCCAACGTCCCCCTAAGAAGTAAAATTTGTTTCTTTCATCTTCCCTCAGAGAAGGAATTCAGGTTATGCTCTGCACTAAATTAAAGTGTTCTGCTCAGTTATGTACATGCACAGCTTTGAAAACTGTTCCTGCTTCTAGGTCAAGGGCTCTCCCTGTGGCCGGGTGCCAGCTTTATCCCTGGACTCCCATAATCCCTTGAAATAAATCAACTTTCCATTGAAATCCTCTGCCAGTTCCACTTCAGAGTAAAATGTGCTGTCTGTAGCATGATGCTCTTTTATACTTTTGTGGAAAAAAAAAAAGACGGGAAACAATGTGGTCATTGTATACTGGACACAGCTCGACGTAATCCGCGTTGTGTATATTAAAGGCTATCTTTGTGTGTTGCACTAGCCCCAGATTTCAGCGTTTATTATTAGAACTGAGAAAAATACCTCCGACCGAAGGAGCGATTTGACTGCTTGCAAAGGATCCCAGCCTGCGTGCGTGTGCGCGCGTGTGCGTGTGCGCGCGTGTTCCTCCTTGCTGCTCTGCTCACGTGGGCTCCAGTGTGTGTGGACACGTTATGCTACCGTGACACTGCTTCCTGGCCTGGGCAGATGAAGCCCTCCAAGATTTTGTTCTCTTTCCTTATGATTTTGTTTCTCTCCCCCTCCCCAATATCAATTTTCTTCTCTCTGCGTTATAAATGAACCTGCATACATTCACACGTTCCTGTGGAAGACTAAAAGCTGTCACTTCATTTCGGGGAACCAGGCGGCTTTAAACTCAGCTGCAAGAAAGCCCAGATGCTACTACATCTCCGGGGGAAACTTATCTATTCAGAGGGGGAGAAACTTCGAAACAATGACAACAAAATAGAGCTTCAAGATGCTGCTGCCGTTCTGCCGGGGCCGAGGTCAGTCCTTTGGAGAATGGGTGCCAGCCAGAAGCTGCAGCACCCTCCTTGGAAGACTGACGTTTCTGAAAAGCTCTGCTTCTCCCCACATCTCAGTAACTTTAAATGGTCTGCCAGTTAAATCAGAACAGCCTGGTGTAAAGCTTCCAATTTTCTGACAACCTTTATATTCTCTTGGCTCCTACAAGGCCCTAAAGCTGATCGTGTATAATCCTGAACTGAATGTAAAATAAATATGAAAACCTGTCATGATTTTACAGTTTTCCAAAGGATATTTCACTAAATAAAAAGAGCTGTACTTCTGGCACGCAAACGCTCCATATAAAAATCACAGTTAGTCCTTTAAAATAAAGTCATGTAGCCCGGTGCCAGACTCTGCCCTCTACGGCTCCCCTCCGAGAGCGGGGCTGGGTGCTCCCACTGGGGCTGGATGGGCCAAGCAAACCCAAACAGGGACCCTCTGGACTGAGCCAGGCCGGCCCCAAGGATCCCTGTGGCCAGCCAGGGAGTGGGGAGGGTCCCAGAGGGTCCCAGCCCTCTCCGTGCCAGTGCCCAGCCCATGCAGGCTGGCTGAAACCCACACCAGCAATCAGTGCTGGGCATAGGGTGCGGGTACACCTCGAGCATACTGTTTCGTGCCCTTGCCGAGGAGAACCACAACTGTCTGTAGAAACCTCTTCTGCTAAGCCCGTGTTATTTAGCTATCTACCTTAACTGAGTGCTGCGGTGTCCGCACGGAAAAGAGTTTCAGTCTCTGACAAACTGGAGCTGATCTCAAGCTCCGCTGGCTTTTCGAGCCTCGGAAAGACTTGCATGTCCAGAGCATTGCTAAAAGTCCAGGCAGAGACACGTAGGCCAGGCAAAGAAGGACCCAAGCACTGCAACCTGGACAATGGACACGAGGTGCGTGCAGGCTAACCTAGTATCTCTTTGCCATCTGGTAGGAAAACTACAAGACCAGTCCTGTATGTCCTGGGATACGTCGCAGTTAAAAACAGCGAGCTTTGCTTGCACAGCACTGTTTGGGTGAAGGAGTGTTGGGAAGGAAGAAATGGAGGAAGGCAAGGAAACTCAAAAAAAGGGAAAAATGGCATCACCACTCACACGGTTTCCAGGTTTGTGTGCAGACATCTTCTTTCCAAGCCACCTTGCAGGTGTTTAGCATTACACACCTGCCTTTCTCATATTCTCCTCCTGGAACAGAGCACAGGGAGTTGCACTGAGTATGAAAACCACAGTAAGCCGTACAGCCAGGCCTTTAATTTTGAATCAGACTGAGTGAAACTATCTGGTTTTCCCCTAGAAGCCCTCAGTGGATAGTTTCTTCAGTTAGCTTCACCGCTTTCAGGCCTTCCCTTTAAGTGAGCAGTGCAGCTGAACCCAAAAATTCAAAGCAAAACTCAATTGAAACCATTATGTTTCATCTGGTTACAAGTCAAAACCTCAAACCTCGTGTACACAGGGCTCAAATTATAAACCCATCAGGCTGAACCCCAAAGCTGGGCCCAGGTTTGCCCTGAGAGCCTGCAAATCTTTCAGAGAAGCTGATTCACGTTTCAAGCTCATAATGAAACGCAAACCCAAGATGGTTAGGGGACTTTTCCAAGGTCAAACAGTGAGCTAGAAGGAGAGCTAAGAGCAGAACCGCAGCCTTGGCCACTTCACACTGCTACCAACAGAGGTAGAAACTCACTCTGCTTGAACTTCGTTTTGTATAGCCTCAGCCAAGCCACTCAAAATAACCACTTTTTTTGCCTGTTAATTGTTTTAATAAGTCACATGGCGATGAATGACTAAACACTACATCATCCCTCTAAGGATTCAGCTGTGGAAAAAGCATCCATTTAGCTGCAGGGTAGTTATTACTGCATAGCTTTGATTTTGCTGCACAATGCACACCCTGTTTATTGAAATGCTTACATACTGCTCGGGGTGAAATCATCCCCACTTACAGGTATACTCTGAAGCTAAAAGGATGAGCTCAGACCCACTCATTTAGACCCCAAATGAGCCCTGTCCCATTACCTGGATCTCCAGAACTCTCTGAGTTTTGGTTAATGCCCCTTTGGATGTATTTTCATACTACCCAAATCCTTGCATCTAAAACATGGAAACAAAACTTCACGTTGAGAAAACACAAGTGCAGTTAAAATATCTGCCCCTCCATGTAACTTTGCCACGGCACAAGGCTCTCTGCAGAGCACCAGAATGATCCGAGGTTCAAGGCATAATTTGATGTACTCCTTTTGGTATCTAGGCCATCATGCACTGGTCACCCGTTTGCGTTTCTCGTATCAATAACACCAAAGCTTTAACGTGGAAGACATTTGGCAATACAGCAGGCAACTGTTCCAGGATCTAGGCTTAATGCTGGAATACCATCAGGGCTGAGGATGTCTACATATTGCTTTCTAATAGTCCCTGCTGTTTGACACCTGGAACGGCATTAAGGAGTTCTGGCTCTGCATGCAGAGCTTCCCAACCAGCAGCTGAAACTGCTTCTACGAGATAGGAAGAAGGAGAGAGGGATTAGTGTTCAACGACTGCATTTATTTATAGTATTAAAAACATTTTTGTGGGGTGAAGGGTCAGCGCTTGAAAAGTAAGGTCTGGTTTACATATACACAGTAACAAACGGAGATTCCAATACGTACCTTTTTTCCACTTCAGGTTAATTACTATTTTCCTGTGCTCGCAGCTCGTTTTGCTTGCAGGCAAATTTCTCTTGAGCTCAGCAGCCAGGACTGTATCTAGGGCTAAGCTTTCCCACCGTATCACTCCAATATTAAAAGAATTTCTCTGGCTTCCTGTTAAACCAGGCACTGATTACAAAATTCTTTTGCTTACTTAGGGCCAGATTCAATAAAAATTCCGTCCAGCTTCCGCATCATGGAAGGCCACAAAAGCCTTGAAATATTTTGGTTTCGAAGCTTTCGTGGGCTCCCATAGTTTGGATACTGGGTAATGGTTCCAGTGAATGTGGTCCTCATAAAGCTTTTCGAGGTCCCACTCCATATGGACCTAGCGATTTCTCTGTATTCTCTCCAGTGTGGATTACAGCCCTCTTCGGAGAATCTCTGATTTATGTCTCTAGCTACGAGCTAAATCCTAGAGGAATAGGTCCTTTTCCTATCAGGACACATCCTCTGCAGAACACTGTCAGAGAAATTAGTGCTTCTGAAAAGAAAGCACCACTTACAGAAATCTGGTATGTTTTGCATGGAAGGACTTGATATGAATATAAGCAAATGGTAAAATCTAAAAGGAAATTCAATAAACTACTCATTATCTATATTCATATGACTAAGCTACACATGGAACGTAGCTTTTATCCTCCATAAAAAATGTACAGATGTTCTATAGAAAACTGTATGAACAAACTTTAACCTCACGACTGCTATTATTTTGTAATAAAAGGCTTACAGCATAATGCGAGCTTTTTTTAGAATGTAAGTTCCATGTGAGTAGTGTGTTGTTAATTTAATATTAATGCAATGCACCAGGAAGAAGTCTGCACAGAATCTAAAATAGAGAGATTCACAGTGCTGCAGACAGGAGATCTGTGGCATGGATTTTATTTGTTTCAGCACTCAGCACAAAATTCATTGACCAGGATTCCCACTGTCACAGGGCCTGGGATTTAACTACAGATATTTTCACATACCCGGGCAGGAAGATTTTGCTGCGGCATTCCCACTGCTGTTCCTGGGAATCGTGTGGTTAAGTCACCTTGCGCTGCACTGAGAATTTACCTCTCGCTGTCAAGTGCATATGAATGAGCTTCTTTTTTTGGGAACTGCAAAAGGAAAAAAAGAATCCACTGAATAAACTTTTGAATTCCTTTTGCTGAACCATCCCTCAGGTAGCAGGTGTGAATGCCTTCACCAAACTCTTGCGGACTGCAAATGCCGTGCCTGCTTTGCTTGTGCTGCAAAGGAATTTAAGGGGGGGGAGCAGAAGCGATCTCCAGTTTCATCCACACAATCTCCCTCTCCCATGTGAGCGAGGCCTCTCCTCTGCAGCGCCTGCCATTCAGAATACCTATCCTGTATTTCTCCGAGGAGTCGGCTCACTGTGAAGTGGCGAAGTAATTTATGACTTCCATTATTACGATCGCTTAGCTGCTCCCAAGCGTGTAAAAATAGCAACAATAATCTCTCCCACTTTTCCTTGCTTTACCACCCCATAGGAGAAAGAGCTCGATCAATCCTGCAGGGGTTACACGTGCACTTGAGTGTTTCTATAACTTACAGGGGGAGTTTGACGCTTTCGGAAAGCGATGAAGTCTACAGACACCTTATTCACTTGCAGAAATACATTACCTCGTCTAGATACAACTTCTGGGAAAGCATTCATAAACACCAGGCCTATGGTATTCATATACCACAGGCCCATTGCAAATGAGAGGGAAGAGAGGAAAACAACTCCTTGTGTCTCATCTGGCTCCATCCTAGAAGGGCCAGGACGGTTTCATGGAGCTTCCACTGATGCACATGGCTTCTTCACACAGGTTAGCAGCAGTTGAGGATCACCAGTATCGAGTATCGGGAGTGATCCAACAAGTGATTGTGCCCTCAAAATCGTTTGCACTGGCCAAAGTTACAAGGACAGTCTCAGCACGCTGTGCTATCCTGAAACCTCGGTGATCAAGTTACTGGCTGCCTCACAGCTGATGTTAGAGATTAATTTTTGTCAACTTGATTAGCAGAGGACAGTCAGGGTTTGGGTGGTAGCGTGTAGGATCACACTCTCTGAAAGACAGCTGCATGGCTGAATCTCACCAGAGCAGATATTAACTGTGATGGGAGATTCAAATCGAAGCAGGAGGACATCATCTCCATTTACGTATGTCCCAAATACCTTGTTTCTGTACCTATTTACCCAAACCTGGAAAGACAGCGTTACATTTCTTCTCCTGATTTATATTAAGCACCTGGGATGTTTCAGTAGAGGTTGTGCAATGAGACACCTCACAAAGGAGATGTGACAAGATGAGTAGTGTCAACTGAGGTTCATAAAGCAACACTAGGGTCTTTCTGTACTGTCAGAGAATTAGGCAGCTGGCAGGGGCAAGTTCTGTGGCAGCATCTTTGTGTCCATGTCCTGTGCCAGGCAACTTTTCTGCCCCCAGCTCTCATGGGATGTCTCCCTCTCCTGTCAGACTAAGAGGGCTCATCAGGGAGGGGAAAGATTCACCGCTTCCCTGCATCAGTGGCTGGTTCTCCCAATGCAGATACCTGCAAAAATGTCTTGAGGAGAAATATTTCCTGTGCAGCTGATGTTACCATCCGCAACAACCCCTGTGTCTTGGTATCTGTACCCACGTAGGCTCAGAGCTCCTCCCCTCCACTGGAGCAAGGCCTGGCACTGGGAAAGCTCCACTGGCTTCATTTCCCCCAGCTGCCATCACATCTTGCACGGTCACAGGGAACAATGCAAGTGACAAGGACACCGCGCATTTCTCAGAGTCCTGCTCCCACCTTTTAAATGGGGAGATACCACTTGCCCCAGAAAGCCCCGTGTATGCTATTAAAAGCAAACAGCCACCACCAAGAACAACTCAGTGCCTTCAACACCAGAAATAACAACTCACGGGGAAGCTATTCGTCTATTAACATTTCTCATTAAAGCCATCACTCCCAGCTGAGGCTTATGACAGATCCTGCCTGGCCAAAATGTCAGCCTGGTTGCGGTGTTTATTATCACGGCTGCCGGGCCAGAAGGGCTTGCTGCAGAGGATCCGGCCGGCGTGCTCAGACAGGAGCTCCTGCCCATGGCCCAGCAGCTTCGCCAGCAGGACTGGCGAGTGTCAGATGTCAAGTTCTTGTTTCACAGGCCTGCCCTCGTCCCCTTTGACCACCCAGGATCACCGCTGCCGTTCAGCAACTGGCAAAGCCCATATCAGGCAGGGTGAGCATCGGCGTTGTCCTGCTTTGAGAGCTGATAAAGGTCTTTGTCTCAGCTTTCCCTATTTTTAAACTACTCCAGCCTGGCTTTGCGGGCTCGTGGCTGTCAGTCAGCAGGGGACGGACGAGCTGGAGGATGAGGTGCACTTTCCTCGGGGTGGTCGCTGCTCCCTGGAGCCGCGTGCTGCAGGAGAGGTGGCCGAAGGCAAGTCTGTGCTCAGGAGTCACGGGCTGGTCCCAGTGCAAAGGCAGCCTCGCACTTGGGTTTCATAATGGAGTTCATGGAAGTCAGTGGAAATTGAACCGCGGCCAAGGTGGAGAGCCATGTAGAACAGATGTCTTTACAGAGGATAAAACAAACAAAAAAGAAATACTCAGAGCCCAAGCTGGAGCTCTTGGCCCACAGTAAATCTGTAAAAAGCCCCAAAGTGCTCAAGAGGGAGGCTGTCCGACACACTTAAATTCCACATGTATAAAGTAAAACGCATTTGCATTGCTAATTTAATAAAGGACTTCTTGACCCAAAGTCAAATGCTAGCGCAAGTCTTCTGCGTGGAACGGCTCTGATAAGCACGCTCTTTAACTCTCTCTGTGAACGCTCAGCAGTGCTGCTTTTTAAAAGTGCATGCGCTTTGCCTAGTGTCTGATGCTAATTATCTTATCAGATAACAGGCAGCCCTTGCTAAGTAGGTATGTAATATATTAGCCTTGGGGAGAAAAGAAAAAAAAAAAAAAAAGACTGATCTTTCAAGTAGATTTGAAACTGCATATGATCTTCTGAGTCTGTGGAAACTTTCCTCTGCAGTACAGAGCTTATGTAAGGAAGGGAAAGAAGAAAAAAAAAAAATCAAACCCGTACAGCTTTCAGGCTGCAGCTCTCCAGGCAGCGCCTTTCTGTTGAGTGCTCTCCTCTATCAGTATTTCGGGATGACACACAGGTTCAGCCGTTCGTCTGGCGTGGAAAGCAGGTTTGGTAATTGCAAGTTGACATTACCCTACAAACGGGCAGATGATAGTAAACAGATGAACTGTGTAAATACGGCATCGCCGCCGAGCCCTCCTTTGTGACTTGTATTCTGATACCGCTACGGCTGCTTTTACTACAACTACTACTACTACGGCGAGGCTTCAGCTGACAGCTCCGCCTGAAGCCCTTTATTCATCTCTGTTACTACTTCAGCTGCTCGGGGAGCAGGAAGGCAGGGCGGGCTGATTGGCCAGGGGCTCTCTAACCCCTGGGAATCAATACGCCGCTCTCGAGAGCACAAAGATGGATTGTGAAGCCGGGGCTGGCGAAAAGAAGGCGCGCTGCATCTGGGAGGGCGCGGAGACAGCCGGCTGTGCTCTGACAGCAGCCTCCCGGCCCGCACATGTTTGCACACCAGCCTCGTGGCACCCTTCCAAGACAATTTGTGAACCTCGGTTCACACCATTTTCAAAGTAGGTCACACGCGGCGATCTCAGCTGAGGGGAGAGGCACTGTCAGCAGCAGGCACTGCGAGGAGGGCGATAGCTGTGCCCAGCGAGCGGGGAGCGTGAGGGCTGTGAAAGCGTGGGGCCCGTGGCCAGCCGCAGCAAGGTGCTCGCCTTGTCCAAACAGCCAGCAGAGCCGGCCTCTTACCGCTCCGAGCTGTAAAAGGACCGACTGTTCTCCCGGACGCACCACCAGCGCAGCTTAAATATTAATCTGAATGAAAATACAGTGGGAGAGGAAATCTAACCTTCACTCAGCGCTGCGCTCCTGACAGCAGGGATCGCAGCTAATTCAGAATTACGGGACTTAAATGTACCACGAGCCTTGGATTATTGCTTCCTAACACGCTCCCCTCACCTTCCCCTGCGCTGACAGACAAAACGCAGGCTCCAAGGCAGATGTATTCTTTGCAGAAAGGACTCCTGAAGCACTTGAATTTTCCTGCATTTTCCTGTATCCCTTGCCTGAGCTGTTTTAGGAGCACAGGACTTGAAGCAGGCATGTTGAAAGGCACATTTTTGAAAGATGGTGTTCAGGAAAATAAATGCGAAAATGAGTATGCATGCTTGTTCCCACACTGTAATGATAAAAAGATCATTAGAGAGTCACCAGTTTAAAGCAAAAGCATGAAACTTCTCGGGCACAGGAGCTGTTAGGAATATGCTGCCTTGCCTTTAAGCACAGCCTGCACATCATCAGAGATGACTTAATGCTAGAAAGCTGAAGGATTGCCTGAAGAGTGCTACAGCATTATGCAATTCAAGAAAAAAAAAAAAAAAAAGAAAGAAAGAAAAAGAAAAAAAATGGTTAATTTTTAACCAGGCTCCGTTTAACCTTGCTTCTGGTCAATAGTTATATGAATCTGAATGAATATGCACACCCTGAATAACTCTAATATAACACATGTGCATCATTTTTAGCACTGAAATCATCAGGGAAACAGCAGAGCTGGGCCAGCATTTGCTTTTTTTTGAATCTGACAAGGAAAAGGAACTGACTTTCCTCCATTTGAAAAGTTGTGCTTCTTCCTTCTTTTCTTTCTTCCCCTGTAACGCAGCAGGCTGGAAGTCTTAAATGGGAAGGAGCAAGTGATTTCTGGAGTTATCGTGCTCTGTGCAAAGAAAGCAGAGAGACAGCTCGTTGTGGAATAGCAACAAGGCTTATCTCCCATACAGGCACGCACAAAATGACTTTCTCCTTCCTTACGAGCGCCTTACCTGATCAATAGCTTGTCCAGGGAGCTGTGAGACATGCAGAAACATGCAACAAGGTGCTAGTTTTTATCAGGTAAAAGGGTGCTGTAATGACTTCCTATGCAAATATGTAGAAAAACCCATAAATCCAGAAAGGGCTATCACTCGGTACATAATCAAGGGAACAACTCATTCTCTAATGCAACACACGATAATTTCCTGCCAAAATCATATTGCTTGCCCGTTATCACAAAGCTTTGACTGAAAATTAACCCGCAAAAATCCCTTCTGCCATTGCCTTCCCAAAAGAAAATCCCTTTAAGAAAAATCACAACACAGAAAACCCCCAGACACTTCACAGTTTTCTTTTTTTTCCAAAATGACAAGGAAAGCTAGCTGTGGTTAGAACAGGCTCGGTTTTGTGCAGTTTCACATCATGTGAGTTTTATTACTTTGCAGCCTAACTTTAGCATTTTCCCAGCCAGCTGCTGGCAGTTTTCTTCTTAGGACTGAGAGCGAACTACTTTGGAAACAAATTTGTTCAGAAACCTTTTTAAAATGATACAGTCAAAAAAAAAATCTTATGTGTTTTTTTTTTTTCTTTTCAGCTTGGATGTAACCTCTTTTTTTTTTTTTTTTTTCCACTCTTTGAAAGGAATGAGTCTGAAATGCTAAACAGGTCACAGAGTAATTATGCATCCACCTGAAAATTAAACACATGTTCGAAGGCTTAACTAACAGCACATGCTAATTCCTAACAGGTACATGTAGCTCATTTTTTTCCGGGGTTGGTCAGTAGGATGTTAGCAAAACGGGATCCCATCAGACCCTGAGAAGAAACGCTGCATCTTTCCATGATGTTGAAGGGAGACAGACCCCAGCAAGGCGATGCTGTGCTCGTGAAGCTGGTGGGATGCTGCAGGGCAGCCACAGCGTGTGCTGTGTGTCTGCCATAGCCTGGTGTCCAGGCTGGGGAGGGCCTCTGAGGTTGCAGAGAGGATGATCAGCCCAGTCCGGAGGCCTGACGGAGCTCGTGTGCCTGGTCAGGTCAGCAGAGCCGCTCCTCACCTGTGTCAACCCCAGCTCAGCCCCGGACAGCTGCTTTCAATGTTGTAAACCCGTGTCTCAGCTGAAAAGACAGACAAAAATGTTGGCAAATCATTTTCTGTTCGGTCCAGCGCCAAATTTATATCCTGGGACGTGCACATCTTCTTGCTCTGGCGTTACTGGATATTTTTTGTTCTCTCACGGCTTGCTGTTCCCTGACCTCTCACAGCACAGGCCTGGCAGCAGTATCTCAGATGCACAAGAGGAACTGAATTTATATTTCCTTCGCAGGATTTTGTTTGGGTTAGTCGTGTTTCTGTGACAGTTTTCCGCGTGGTAAAAAGCGTTTTTCTTTGACCTAGAGAGGGGAATGCACAGAGCTGGCAGAGGTGAGGGGACCTCAGCACAGCCTTTACGGAGGTGTGCGGTGGCACAGGGGAAGCGTGAATGAACATCGCTGGGCTGCACGCGACCTGCCCGCCTCCAGCTGAGGGCTTGCTGTGAGCGAGCTTGAGATTTTTGGAGCAAGAGCTGCAGTACTTTAATGAACTGGCACTGGTTGAAGGAGATCTTTGGCCAACGCTGACATTGGAGATGGATTAAAGGTGGCGTAGTTCAACCTTTGCTTCCCTGTGCTGAATTTCACGAGATCAGCACAGGTAAGGACTGAGTGCTAAGCTGTTATTTACTGCCTTTTGGATCCGCTGCTATAGGAAGTTCAAAGAGCAGCATGACCTGGCTCTTCCCAACTACCTTTGCACTTAGTAAAAGCTCAGGCTTCACAGTATGCCAAATATGTGTGGCATCAGGGAAAGGAGCCCCATACATCACCTCCCAGGTGATTTTTAAATTGTGCTAAGGCATTGCTCCCGTTTAAAAACTCAACTTTTTTTTTCAATGCTATTATTTCTGGAATACTCTCCTTGAAGTTGGAGGACTTCATGAGGTCTCTTCTGCCTATGGCCAGCAGATAGCTACACAGGAGAAGAGAGAAAAACCAGGACTGTCACCACTGCACAAGCATTTCCATCCAAGAGAAGGTGTTCCCCAGCAACATCCCAATCACACTGATCCTACTGCAGAAGTCTTAGGTGTTACCACTTATTTCTTGTGGCTGCCCAGCTCCTGTTGGCCAGAACGAGCACCCTCTTCCAGGCCAAGTGGTTGAAACACATGAAAGGGAGCACCCAGGGTACACAGTACGATTGCAGGATGCGTCCTTGTTCCATTCACCTTGTTCTCCTCTCGTCTGTCCCCTCCGTTCTGCCTGTGGGAGCACTGGAATAGGCCTGACATGGGAAGGGCAGGGAAGTCAGTAGATTTATACAGATGTGACTGACAGCAGAAGGTAGCTAAGAGGCTTTTGGAGTCCTCTATTTCCAATTCCTAAATGTCCACTGGCATTTCTGACCAACTTGCTTAGCTGACCACCAGATTAGCAGCCTTAGCTCAGTGTTTTACACCTCCTACCCTCAGGATGTCAAATTCTGCCATCTCCCTCATGAGCCAAAAGAGCACGTCCCTCCATCCCATTCATTCCGGAGGCAGGGAGCACAATGGCTGGCTCAGCCTGACGTGCTCCATGCCCCAGGGCCATGAGTGTACCTGGACTTTGTACATCGTAATCCTCCTCACCTCAGCCGAGCACTGTCCAGGTGGTACGCACCCTTCAGTTTAAAGCACAGGAGGTTTTCTTGTGTTGGCACCAAGCAAAATTACATGCTAATCCTTCTGGTATTAGTCAAATGGGGCTTAAAAATTGACTCAGAAGCTTTTCAGCTGCAAGATTTCCCTGGCAAGTGCGGACACTGGTCTCAGTCATGAATTCCCACAGAATCTAAGCTTACGTTGAGAAAAAAAAAATAAATAAAAAAATTAAGCTTTATGGCAGCAAAAATAACCTTTCCAAGCTCAAACCTGATGCAAGCTGATAGAACATTGGCTTCCTGAATCTGCAGAGAAGCAGCTCCCGTGCCTGTGCTGCTCCTCCATCCCCACGCTGCCAGCCAGCACCCGCCGAGTGAGATGACCAAGGCATGGTCCCCGTCTCCTGCGGGCCCCCCACGCCACGCAGGGAAGCCCGGCAAGCCCCCTGACTTCATGCTGAAGCTTGTAAAAGCTGGAACTGGGGCCAGGAATGGGCACTGGAGTGATTCACGAGAGATAAGGATCCTGAAGAAAGGAGGCTGGAGGAAAGGATGAGTAACAGAAATAGCTCGCTGGCTTCCTCTTCAGAGAAGCAAGGAGGAGGGCGAGGGATGCTGAAATGAGAACACACTTCTTTTTTCCCCCGTGGCTATCAGGAAGTTGACAGGAAAAAAAAAATCCTGCTCTGGTTCAGCAGCTAGAAATGGGAGTTTCACCCTGAACAGGCACACGCGGGCTATAAAATGAACTGAAAAACTGCATCTCCGAGCAGGGCCGTGCAGTCACTTCCTTGCAGGAATCCCCCAAAACCCAAGAGCCGGTAGGAGCAAGGGGCTGAGCTTTTCAGGAGGACACTAATAGCAGCTTGTGACAGAGGCTGGTTCTGCCTTCCTTGAGCGTGGGTCCCTAAATCAGTCTTGCAGGTGTAACTCCATTTCTTGAGAACTTTTTCCAGATCTAAAATTGCACCAATCCCATAGATTTGTCCAGTGAAACGGTGAACATCAGCAGGGTGAATATTTCTTTTTGTTCTGCCATGTTATGCTTTTTCAGTGAAAACAAGTATCATAAAATAATAGAAAATTGATTGTCGGGATGCTTTGTTACATATATATTTTTTCATATCCTGAATACCACACATTTGACTAAACCAGGGTGCTCCACTTGCTCTTCTCTTGACCACCTGTCTTTTTTTTTATTCACCTTACTCAACAGGACAGGCATAGCCCTGCTGGTATCTCAGCAGTCGCTGGGACTCCCACAATCATTCAGAGACTTTCCTCAATGTAAATTAATCCTTTTTTTTTTTTTTTTTTTGATTCTATTTGATTCGGCTTAAGCCACATAATGCAGAATTCTGTCCCATCTGTCCCACTTAATTACAATAATTGCAGGACCTAAATTTGCTTCTAAACGTCATTAATTAATATTATACTACAGGCTGGATGGGTAAGGGGAGGAAC